TTTGCTCATTGCCGCGTCGATGGGTTCGAGATCGATGGTGCGGCTTCTGCTGCGAAATGCGGCGGACGCTTCTCAGGAGGATGCCAAAGGTCGCGGTCCCATCGAAAGGTGCTTCATAGATTCTTCGATCGGTCCGGTAATCTCTTTGCTGCGAGCCGGTGCTACAGTGCGACCTTACACGGAGAACTTTCATCTGCTTCATCAAGCCGCTGAAAGAGGCAGCCTGAACTGGGTGACGTGTTTGGTGCGGGCGCGAGCTAGCCCCCAGGCTCGTGACGAACTCGGGCATCTTCCCCTCGACGTGGCACTGCGCTTGTCCGGTTTCGAGCGTCGGGTTCAATTCAGAAGACGTCTTCGCGGGTTTGGGGCCAGAAGAAGACCTGCCGGCCGCCGCGAAGAGTAGCACCGCGCCGTCTTGCGAAAGGGCGGGCCGAGGCCGGAAGAGCGCCGCTGACACGCAGATGTAGCATGGCCGCGGAACCGCATGGACGCTGTCTTGCGAAAGTGCGGGGCTGCGGCCACCTTATGGCCGAGGCGGCGTGGGATGGCGGCCGCGGAACCGCGTGGACGCTGTCTTGCGAAAGCGCGGGGCTGCGGCCACCTCATCATGGCCCAGGCGGTGAGTTGTGACAGGCTTGGCGGCGCTTCTGTCAAAATCCCGCCACTTCCGATGCCGTAACTTGCTATGCTAAACCTGACTTTCGATTGGGGGTCTGGAGGCCGTTCGAGCTTTAGATGGTGGCTTGGAGGGCTTTCGAGCAAAACCTTGCACTTGTCATTGTCGCTGCTGCTGCTGCTGCTTAGGCTGCTTCGACTCGCACGACGAGAATTACCGGTCTTGTCCTCAGCAAGACGATCGCTCTGATGAGGGTTGCATCCGATGCGCTTTCAGTTTCGCTGCATGCAGTATTTTGGATGCTTTTTGTGTGTGCCGCGTAGCTCGGGCTCGATTGCTGTGGTGGCGCTGGCCTTTGCGGTGATGCCGGGTGGACGCTGTCTTGCGAAAGCTCGGTGTGCCGCTGGGCTATGGCGGCCAGGTCCTTGCCCTCGAATGCCTACTTGCTCGAAGCAGATCTGCGAGCTACCGAAGGGTGGAACAGCAGAAAGCCTTTGATCGGATGGCACACGGGCACAGCCAAGCTTGCCTTCCGGGTGCCTGGGAGCCCTGATACCATCGCCATCGAGGAAAGGATCGACCGTCTTGGTTGCGGGAGTCTCAGCGTGGCTTTCAGCTTGGAGAACTGGAGGTTGGCGGTGAAGATCGTGCCCTGTGCGGGCATGAACAAAAGTGGCTGGATGACGACAAACGATCCGCTGCGGGAGCTGAAGCAGTACGTGAAGGCGTTCCAAAATGCCGCAGTGCGTCCGTACTTGCTCCGGTATTACGGAGGCCTGTATCTGTGGGGCGACAGGGACTTCACTCTGGCATCCTCTGAGGTCGACGAGGAGTCGACGGTCGCAGCCGCCGTCATGGTCTGCGATCGCGCGGAGTTCTCTATGGCGACGGCACTGCTGCAGCTTTGGCAACAGCCCATGACGGACCAGTTGCGCGAGCAGCACCTGCGACTGTGGACATCGGCGCTAGCCATGATCGGTACATTCTTCGAGAACGGGTGGGTGCTCTGGGATGCGCAACCTGAAAACTACGGCGTGGACGAGGCAGGCTACGAGCGGATGCGGTTCTTGAGGGTCGCGACCATCCAGGAGAAAAGCTGTGATCCCAATCACGCTGAAGGCCAGCTGCTGTACAAGATCATGAAGCGCTTTTGCGGGGCAACAGTCCAGTTGCTGACAAGGGGAGGCAGTCATCCAACGTGGCAGACATGGCTGCAGCCGCTTTTCCAAACCATGTGTCGACGGTACTTCGGTCCAGAAGCTGCACCTGTTTGGGGTGATCAACTGTTTTGGTCGAGGACGGGTGCTTGCTGGACATTAAATCCTTAATAAGCCGGAAGTCTGAAGCCTAAACCATACGTGGCGTGTGGGTGTGTCACTGTGTGTTGCACTCGCACGTTGCAGGAGCATCGACGAAGCGTGCATGCGTGCACTTGCAGGGCACGTGTTCAGGCTTCTCGGCAGAAAGAGCTGGCTGCCGCGCAGATGTAGGATGCACTTTTCTACTGCACGGACGCTGCCTTGCAAAAGTGCGGGCTGAGGCCGGAATAGCGCCGCCGACACGCAGATGTAGCATGGCCGTGGAACCGCATGGACGCTGTCTTGCGAAAGTGCGAGGCTGCGGCCACCTCATCATGGCCCAGGCGGCGTGGGATGGCGGTCGCGGAACCGCGTGGACGCTGTCTTGCGAAAGCGCGGGGCTGCGGTCACCTCATCATGGCCCAGGCGGTGAGTTGTGACAGGCTTGGCGGCGCTTCTGTCAAAATCCTGCCAGAGCCGGTTCGAGCTTTAGATGGTGAGTTGGAGGGCCGCCTTCGAGCAAAACCTTGCACTTGTCATTGCTGCTAGTGCTTAGGCTGCTTCGATTCGCAGCGCGAGAACTACCGGTCTTGTCCTCAGTAAGACGATCGCTTTGATGAGGGTTGCATTCGATGCGTTTTCAATTTCGCTGCATGCGGTCCTTTGCATGCTTTTTTTTTTGTGCGTGCCGCGTAGCTCGGGCTCGATTCCTGTGGTCGCGCTGGCCTTCGCGGTGACCCCCAGTGGACGCTGTCTTGCAAAAGCTGGGTGTGCCGCTGGGCTATGGCAGGCAGGTCCTTGCCTCCGGATGCTTATTTGGTCGAAGCGGATCTGCGAGCAACCGGGTGGACCAGGAAAAACCCATTGCTCAGATGGCAGACAGGCACAGCCAAGCTTGTCTTCCGGGTGCCCGGGAGCTCTGCTACCATCGCCATCGAGGAAAGGATGGACCGTCTTGGCTGCGGGGCTTTCAAGGTGGCTTTCAGCTTGGAGAACTGGAGGTTGGCGGTGAAGATGGTGCCCAATGCGGGCATGAACAAACAAGGCTGGATGACGACAAACGATCCGCTGTGGGAGCTGAGGCAGTACTTGAGGGCGTCCCAAAATGAGGCAGTGCGTCCGTACATGCCCCGGTGCTACGGAGGCCTGCACCTGTGGGGCGACCTCAAGTACGCTTTGGTAGGGACTGAGGTCGACGCTTTGGCAGGGACTGAGGTGGACGAGGGGCCGATGGTCGCCGCCGCCGTCCTGGTCTGCGATCGCGTTGAGATCTCTATGACGACGGCACTGTTGCAGCTGTGGCAACAGCCCATGACGGAGCAGTTGCGCGAGCAGCACCTGCGACTGTGGACATCCGCGCTCGCCATGATCGGCACATTCTTCGAGAACGGGTGGGTGCTCCGGGATGCGCAACCTGAAAACTACGGCGTGGACGAGGGAGACTACGATGGGATGCGGTTCTTGGACGCCGGGGCCATGGAGAGGAGAAGCCTTAGTCCCAATCACCTTGAAGGCCAGCTGCTGTACAAGATCATGAAGATTTGTTGCAGGGCAACAGTCCAGTTGCTGACAAGTAGAGACATTCATCCAACGTGGCAGACATGGCTGCAGCCGCTTTTCCAAACCATGTGTCGACGGTACTTCGGTCCAGAAGCTGCACCTGTTTGGGGTGATCAACTGTTTTGGTCGAGGACGGGTGCTTGCTGGACATTAAATCCTTAATAAGCCGGAAGTCTGAAGCCTAAACCATACGTGGCGTGTGGGTGTGTCACTGTGTGTTGCACTCGCACGTTGCAGGAGCATCGACGAAGCGTGCATGCGTGCACTTGCAGGGCACGTGTTCAGGCTTCACGGCAGAAAGAGCTGGCTGCCGCGCAGATGTAGGATGCACTTTTCTGCTGCACGGACGCTGTCTTGCAAAAGTGCGGGCTGAGGTAGCGCCGCTGACACGCAGATGTAGCATGGCCGCGGAACCGTGTGGACGCTGTCTTGCGAAAGCGCGGGGCTGCGGCCAACTCATCATGGCCCAGGCGGCTAGTTGTGACGGGCTTGGCGGCGCTTCTGTCAAAATCCCGCCAGAGCCGGTTCGAGCTTTAGATGGTGACTTGGAGGGCCGCTTCGAGCAAAGCCTGACACGCAGATGTAGCATGGCCGCGGAACCGTGTGGACGCTGTCTTGCGAAAGCGCGGGGCTGCGGCCAACTCATCATGGCCCAGGCGGCTAGTTGTGACGGGCTTGGCGGCGCTTCTGTCAAAATCCCGCCAGAGCCGGTTCGAGCTTTAGATGGTGACTTGGAGGGCCGCTTCGAGCAAAGCCTTGCACTTGTCATTGCTGCTGCTGCTGCTGCTGCTGCTGCTGCTTAGGCTGTTTCGACTCGCACCACGAGAATTACCGGTCTTGTCCTCAGCAAGACAATCGCTCTGATGAGAGTTGCATTCCATGCGCTTTCAATTTGACTGCATGCATTCCTTTGTATGCTTTTTCGATTTGTGCGTGCCGCGTAGCTCGGGCTCGATTCCTGTGGTCGCGCTGGCCTTCGCGGTGACCCCCAGTGGACGCTGTCTTGCAAAAGCTGGGTGTGCCGCTGGGCTGCTGCGTAGCTCGGGCTCGATTTCTGTGGTGGCGCTAGTCTTCGCGGTGCCGCCGGGTTGACGCTGTCTTGCGAAAGCTCGGTGTGCCGCTGGGCTATGGCGGCCCGCTCCTTGCCCTCGAATGCCAATTTGTTCGCTGCAGAGCTGCAAGCAGACATGGACGGGTACAGCAAGAAAAACCCAATGATCAGATGGCAGAAAGGCAGAGCCAAGCTCGAGTTCCGCGTGCCCGGCGGCGGTGCCATCTTCATCGAGGACATGCTCTACCGTTTGGGTACCGGAGCTTACAAGGTGGTCTACGGCTTGGAGACCTGGAAGTTGGCGGTGAAGATCGTGCCCAATGCGGGCATGAACAAAAATGACTGGATGGGGAAAAACGATCCGCTGCAAGAGCTGAAAATGTACAGGGGTGCGTACGACAGGAGTGGCAAAGTACGACCGTGCATGCCCCATTACTACGGAGGCGTGCACCTGTGGGGCGACCGTGACTGGCGTATGGCAGGGAGTGAAGACGATCCCAGGGCCAGGGACTCGAAGGTCGCAGGCGCCATCATGGTCTGCGATCGCGTTGGGCTTTCTATGGAGACGGCACTGTTGCAGCTTTGGCAGCTGCCCATGACGGATCGGTTGCTTGAGGAGCACCTGAAACTGTGGACATCCGCGCTCGTCATGTTCGGCACATTCTTCGAGAACGGGTGGACCCTCTGGGATGCCAAACCTGACAACTACGGCATGGACGAGGGAAACTACGAGCGGTTGCAGTTCTTGGACGTCGCGGCCCTAGAGAACAGAAGTGAACAAACGACCCGCCAAGATGGCCAGCTGCTGTACAAGATCATGCAGCGCTTTTGCAAGGCAACAGTCGACCTGCTGGGAAAGGGAGGCACTCATGAAACGTGGCGGCAATGGCTGGTGCCGCTTTTCGAGAACATGTGTCGCCGGTACTTGGGCCAACATGCTGAAAATTTTTGGGGTCAACAACTGTATTGGGCGAGGACAGGTTCTCTCTGGACATGAAACTCATAAATGTGTCTGCGTGTGTGTGTGTGTGTGTGTGTGTGTGTCACTGTGTGTTGCACTCGCAGTTTGCAGGATCGACGAAAAGATAATGCGTGCATTTGCAGAGCACATGTTCAGGCTTCTCGGCAGAAAGAGCTGGCTGCTCGTGCTCGTTGCTTTGCGGTTGATCGTATGTCCTGATCGCGAGGATTTCGACGTCTCCCGCATCTTCGTTTGCCGACAGGTGTTCTGGGGATTGTGGCTGGAAACAGGAGCTAGTGCACAAGACCTCACGGCCAGGAGCCAGCCGACGGGGGAGTCCGAGCCTGCGAAGAAGTCCGGGCCTCAAGTCACGACGGTGGCGGTCGGCGTCTCCTTGTTGGATTCCGAGCTTAGGCCAAGCAAAAGAAATCTGACGGCCAGGAACGAGCCGTGCAAGGAGTCGGAGCCTGCCAAGAAGTCCGGACCTCAAGTCGAGACGATGGCGGCCAGTCCTTGGTTCCTGCCAGCAACCCAGCAGAGGACCCTGCACGGATCCTCGTGCTTGCTTTTCATGTGTGTGCAACGAAAGAAATCCGACGGCCAGGAACGAGCCGTCGAAGGAGTCGGAGCCTGCCGAGAAGTCCGGACCTCAGGTCACGACGATGGCGGCCGGTGGTTGGCTCCCGCCAGCAACTGTGCAGACGACCCTGCATGCATCCTCGTGCTTGCTTTTCACGTGTGTGCAACGGCGTTCCCGCCCGCGACCCAAGGTGCGTGAAGGCCAGGAACGAGCCGTGGAAAGAGTCGCCGCGGGAAGAGTCGGAGCCTGCCAAGAAGTCCGGACCTCAGGTCACGACGATGGCGGCCAGTGGTTGGCTCCTGCCAGCAACTGTGCAGACGACCCTGCATGCATCCTCGTGCTTGCTTTTCACGTGTGTGCAACGGGGCTCCTGCCCGCGACCCAAGGTGCGTGAAGGCCAGGAAGGAGCCGCGGAAAGAGTCGTCGCGGGAAGAGTCGGAGCCTGCCGAGAAGTCCGGATCTCAGGCCACGACGATGGCGGCCAGTGGTTGGCTCCTGCCAGCAACTGTGCAGAGGACCCTGCATGCGTCCTCGTGCTTGCTTTTCACGGGCGTGCAACGGGGCTCCTGCCCGCGACCCAAGGTGCGTGAAGGCCAGGAAGGAGACGTGGAAAGAGTCGCCGCGGGAAGAGTCGGAGCCTGCCGAGAAGTCCGGTTCTCGAGTCACGAGGCGGGCCTCGGGTCGTGGCACTGGCGCTGTCTCGTCGACGGCTAACATATCCGACGGTCAGGAATGAACCGCCTACTGAAGAGTCGGAGTGTGCCAAGATGTCCGGACCTCGGCAACTCAAAGGTGCGGTGTCTTGCTGGCCGCTGAGCTCAGGCAACGCATGGATGCATCGCGAGAATTAAGCGAATGGGGACCCACCGTGTGCGTGGGGTTGCTTGGTCGCAGTGCACTGGTGATGTTCCAGATGCTGCCCAAGGAAGAAGGCGATACTGCGATAGAGCTCTTGTGCACCGTGAAGGAGAAGGACGTCGAGGTGATTGAATCGGTTCAACACGTGCAAGCGCACGTTTTGGCGGCGACACCACGGGATGTCTCTCACATGCTTAAGGAGGGCGAGCGCAAGCACGGGCTTCTTCGGGTTGAGCTTGTCTGCAGTACCGCATGGACGCCCACCGACAAATATGCGGAGCGTCACAGAGTGCGTCGGTGCATGCATGTCAACGCTTCCCTCGCGCGGGTCTACTGGGATCAAATGAATCGGGACAGCTGGCCCAAGTCTTTGCAGGACTGGCACGAGATTGTGGTTGGCAAGACTCAAAAGCGTGCAGAGGCACCTAAGTTGACGTTGGAAACCCTGGAGAAGGCGATGAAGGACGTGACCGTCGTCGCTGACCAGAGGGGCTTTTACAACAAGCCTATCCATGATCTAGACACACATGGACGGGTCAATCGAAAGACGACTAAACTGGACGAAAACCCCCTCACGCGAGAAGAGCGCGAAGCCGAAGGGATCACTTATGGCGACCAGCAACCGAACAAGAGGATGCGAGACATTCCCAGCTACCGGCACAAGCCATTGACGGTCGCTTTGCTAAGTATGAAAGTGTTCGAAGCTGTACATTACTTTGTTCGTTTTGTTTTCCTCGCTCGTGTGTCTTCTGCATTGGTTTGATCCGCGGAAGGCATTGCTGCGGAACCTGCACCAACTTCTGCCGCTGGAGCGCTGCAACGAAACAGGGCAGCGACCGGCCGGATGCAGGGAGCGGCATGCTCCAACGAAGCCGCGAAAGCAATCCAGCAAAACCGATGGAGGCATGTTCAAGTTTGCCCAGCATGGCATGGTTCTCCAGCTGGAGGACTTCATCGAGGAGAAGTGCTTTGTACAGCCGACAGCTGCTGCAGAGGAGCAGGACTTTGGCTTTGTGCCGGCCGAGCTGCACAATGTGGCCAGGGGCCTTGTTGCTTTCCTGAGGGTCAGAGCGTGCTCTTACGATAACATCTCGCCTCACAAGAAGACGGAGCATTGGAGCCATTGCTTGGAGTGGTGGGGTTTTTGGATGTCGGACGAGGAAATCCAAGCCGTGGCTGCACAAGCGACGTCCCTTGCATTTACGCACATGCGCTATCTGAGTGCCTACGTGCGTTTGCATCGAGCAACGTTTGCGCAGGAAAGTGTTGCCGCTGCCTCGCAGATGTAGGCTGGCCGCGGAACCGCATGGACGCTGTCTTGCGAAAGTGCGGGGCTTCGGCCACCACGTGGCTTAGACAGCGGCTTGGACGAGGCAGTACTTGGATGTGGCGGCCGTGGAGGAACGCTCGCTGAGCTTCGCGTAGGATGGCCGCGGCATCGCATGGACGCTGTCTTGCGAAAGTGCGGGGCTGGGGCCATTCATTCCCGAGGCGCTGATCTTTTGCGGTGGTGCTTGCGCTTGTGCCAAAACAAAATGATTTCTTTCACTTCAAATGCCACAACGCACTTGCCGAACTTTGCTCTCATCGGGGTCCGGGTCCAGATTCAGATCGTGGTTTGCAGGGCTTGGCATGGCTGCTGTTGCTGCTTAGGCTGTCTCGACTCGCACCGCGAGGTCTATCGGTCTTGTCCTCAGCAAGAGAATCGCTCTGAAGGGGGGGTGGCATTGAAGTCGGTTGGCTTGCCGATGTTCTCCGCTCCGAGGTTGCTTCCAATTCTGCTGTTTTCGTTACCTAGCCTGGGCTCGATTTGCATTTCCCTTTTGCTGGTCTCCGCGGCATCGCCGAGTGGACGCTGTCTTGCGAAAGCTCGGGGTGCTGCTGGGCCGTGGAACTCCCAGCGATGGAGGCTGCCGAGACGACTTCTCTGGGTGGCGGAGATCGGGCATTGCTGCTTCCTTGCGAAGGAGGCCGGCCATTGCAAAACGTCGAGCTGCTGCAGAGAACCTTGTCTGCTCTGCTGCAACAGTCTCTTGTCCAGTCAAACGAAGAGCTTACCGATCTCGTTTACAGGGCTTGCTTCTTTCACAACAAGCTCAAGGGCAGCCTGGCATCGAATCATGAAAGCAATCCTATCACGGCCTCTCAGGAGCCGGGAGGAGTTTATGAGCGCAACTTTCTGGGGGAAGTTCGAGAAGTGTTGAACTGTCTCGTCGAGCATCACGAGCGACTGAGCTTGGATGTGCTGTTCGCCGAGATATGTCGCGCGGACAAGCTTTTGCGAGAAGCCAGAGCTTTTTTGCGCCGCTGGAAGCACGTGCCCTCGATAACGCCGGTGATGGAAGAAAGCGCGGCATGCGTCGCCCATGCGCTGGCTGCAATGGACGATGCTCATTTAGCTCTTTGCGAAGATTCCCTCTGCAATTTTACTCAGAGCATCCACGCCGGACGGCTCGCCGTCCATCGAGGCTGTGGTTATTTGGACTTACTGCTGCGCTGGATACAAGAGGGCGAGCACTGCAGCGGCGATCGACGGAAAAGTTGCAAGCGGCGTCGTGCCTCGAGTTCTGGGCACAACAGCACAGACACGGCGTTGGTTGCACAATACGAGAAGTCGGTGGCCGAGTCGGGCTCGAGACTGCCGCTGCCGCCTTTGCCTCCATGTCTTCCCGAGCCATCGGAGGTGTCCAACCCGCGGCAGCCTAGTCTGCCCGAGGAAGCTTGTCAGGCGGGGCAGGCACAGCTCTTCGAAGAGACGGTTCCACTGCAAGCGAAGAGAAACGCGACTGAGACAGAGCACACGCCAAATGCCGTGCTGCGTGCTCAACAACTCTTGGAAGGGCTCCTGCCTTTTTTGGAACAGCAAGTGGCGGCCGTCGTCGCGGAGGCCCGTAGTCACCTCCTTCAGTGGACTTCCGGAGTCTCGCCAAACAGCGTTATTTCAGTGGACGACACGTGACGATCTATCGAGCTTGAGCCCTCGGATCCAGATACTGTGCCATCCGCATGGAGATGCCTGTCTGAACGAGACATGGCCGCAGCACCGCATGGACGCCGTCTTGCCAAAGTGCGAGGCTGCGGCTACTTCGCTGTCTTGGATCGACCGCAGTTTCGGATGTGCGGCTCAGGACTGTCACGTCGATTTTCAAGGGAGGCCGTTGTGCGACGCAAAATCGCTGTGAACCACTTCTCGCGGTTTCCTCGTCGTGATTCACCTGTGTTGGAAAGGCTTTCCTGGGCACGACGAGCCCTGGGCCAGTGCTCGATTCGTCGAGGCAGGGACGGCCGATGCGGGAGGTGGTGCTGGCAGTTTCGGAATCTTCTTACCCCCATCCCGAAGCCGCCCCTGTGGGTTTCTTTGCAGCTGGCGTTTGGGAAGGGACGTAAGGACTTCAGTTTGTGTCCTTGCTTCAGGTTTCGTTCTGGAAGGAGGCAGAACTCGCAAGATGCGAGATTGAAAGCAAGCGGTACTGCTAGTCCCGAAGCTCTTGTAGGACCAGTAAGCCACGGAATAATTGCAACGTGCAGATGCCTGCTTAGTTTCCTTACCTCTGCCCCCGATATGCGACTTGTTTCCACGACTCATTGTAATAGAGTGCATCCTAATACATTGCGTTGTACGTATCGGCCGATTTGGGCCCGGTGGTGGCGATAACACTACCTGTGCAAAGAAGGCGAGCTTGCATTGAGCACGTGCGTTGCGATCTGTTGTCACGACTTTTGACGAATTATGCTGCTTTGAACGTCTGCTTGAAAATTGTTCAAGAACTACTAAGAGACGGGCATGTACCAGGAGCGCTGCCACGGATTGTGCACATGCGTCACCATCTCCAGCCGAGGGACCGAGATTGTAATGATTGGAGTGACAGTTCATGAATTTTCGCGCGCATTCCTTGGAGCATTGTGCTCATGTAATTGTTCGATTGCGGCTGTTCGATGTCGACTGATCTTACATTTATTCTTGCACGCACGTATTGCGAGGCGCGTTGCGTGTCATCAGGAACATTGGTATGAGTTCTGACAAACTGCCTTTGGACCGACGCGTTATTGAACAAGGACATTGCGTCATGAGACTTCACGGACCTACTCCATTGACTGCGATTTCATTTGCTGATCGTTACTGTATGGATTGCACTTTTGATTCGGGTTTTACCTGCTCTGACATTGCAAGATCGCGGTGTTAGATACTCGGGGTTTTGGTCGTCTCATGCTGGCTTTCAGGGTCCGACGTCCTTTCTCCTCTTCGGCAAACGCTTCTTGGTGGAATCACTTTCGAGGCTTGCAGTCTTCGGCGAGGCTTCGTTGTATTCGCGGTGTTCATTTCGGGCAGACACAGTTCCTGCGGAAGCTTTGGTTTTTTCGTCTTGGGCAAGTGATCCAGGGCCTCGACTTTCAGTCTGCAGACCCCGTTGTTTGCATCGTATGCAGCTAGCAAGCGCATTGCATTTGGCTGAGCTGCTCCCGGCACACTCACAGGTGTTTGTCTGGTATGCCATCTGCGTTTCCCAGCAGGTCGGGGCAGTTGCTTGGAAGGTATGAACTTTGGCTTCGTTGTGCGTGCAGGGCATATTAAAGGCTTCAAGTAGGGTTCCAGGAGGGCTTCATCCGGGCCTTCGGCTCTTGCCGATTCGAGGTTGCGCTTCTTCGTTTCGCACTCATTGCCTAGATTCTGCCTGATCATTTTGGGTGGGTCGTTTCTGTCGGGATTGGGAATCCGGTCCTGGCAGGCATTCAGTGTTCGCCTTTGGTTTGGCTTCTTCGAGGAACTTGGAATGGATATTTGACTCCGCCCGATAGCTGTTGCTATGAACGTTCGGAGCGGGCTTTGAGTGTGGTCCTGTCGGTTATTCTTATGCACTGTTCGCGAAGAGATCCAGTTGGTGTTTCTGCGCTTCGGACGCATTGCATTGATTCTGCTTGATCATTTTGGGCGGGCGGTCTCTGTCGGGATTCGGGATCTGCTCCTGGCAGGCATTCAGCGTTCGCTTTTGGATTGGAGATTTAACGACACCTGCTACGTAGGCGTTGCGTGTTCGGAGTGCGCTTCGAGTGGAACACAGAAGTCGTTCGGCGCGACCCGGTAGGGTACTCCCCGAACCTTACACTTGTATTCACGGCTAGCGCTGCGCCACTTTGAGTGTAGTGTGTTTGCTGCAGTTCTTGTGATCTTCTAGGCTTCGGTTCGGTGTACAATAGAGAACGTGAACCACGGGCTCGTCCTCGAAAGTGGCAAGCAGCTTGTGGACATTGGCAATCAGTGGAGCGGCCGTGACAAGAGCTCGGATCACGGAAGTATCCAGCCAGAGTCAAGGTTCGTCCAGGACCAGGCACACGGCAACGTAAGAGGTCGGTTGCCAATTGTTGTTTGCTGGCGGCTGGTCTTTGGGATGATAGCTGCGTTCGGGCAGTCAAAGCCGCCGTGGTGCTTGCCGTGAAGGAAGCGGTCGATGTGCCGACCAGTTCCAGGAACCTCCAGCAAAGTCACTATGTGAGCAGCTTGGCCGCATGCGGTCACTGGTCACACGGTCTCATGTGAGGCTGTGAACTGGGATGAAGACGAGGAAATTTCGACAAGAAGAGATTGCTTGTCGCGAGTCAATGTCCAGGTCGGCTCATCGAGCCCGTGATGGTGCAGATAATTAATCGGCGGCATCTGGCGTAGCTAGAAGGGTCGGTGTTGCGTTTCTGCTTTTGTTGGGTGTGCTTCTTTGTCGGATGAGTCCTGCCCGATGCCTGTATCGGGGTTTAGACGCGGCGAGCAGCGGCGCGGCTCCGCGAGGCGGGCCGTTTGGTTGTGAAATTAGGGGATAGGATATCTCCCGAACTTCTGAATAAGACCCTACATGGATCGCGGAATCCACTTCGGAATGTTGCCAGATGCCGCCTTAGGGCTGATTGGACTAATGCCCTGTGATCCTTGTTATATCATTCCATCTGTGTCTCCTGCTTTAGTTATCCTTCCATGTCAACTGCCCCCCCTAAACCTCTCGCAGATCTTGTGAGCTGCGAGAAGACGATTGTCGGGAATGAGGCTGGACGAAGACAGATCGGGTTTGGGCAGGGGCAGGCACGTAGTCATCCCCTTCAAGGGATTTCTCGGGTCTCGCCGGGGGAGGGGGGGGGGGGGGGGCTGCATTTAAGCCGTTTTCAATTTCGCTCGCTGTGTTGTTTCTCAGCTGGGCTCGATTTACGTTGTGTTTGTTTGCCGCCGTGACGCCGCTGAGTGGACGTTGTCTTGCGAAAGCTGGGCGCGTCAGGCGAGACTGTAAGATATTCCGAAGCATGGACT